GAGTCACCTGCAAGTTTTTCAGAGATGTTATCATGTAATCCTCTATGAAATTTAAAAATCAAGTCATCCTCTGTAGGTGGAGCTCTCTGGAAATGAGAGTATTTGGCCAGCTTATTGAACTTATTCAAGTATTCATCAATAGACATCTGACCCTGCTTTAGTTCTTCAAATTCACCCTTCTTCCTTATCCGGGCTTCAGCCGGAAAGTATTTCAGCAAGAATTGCCTTTCAAATAAAGGCCAGGTAATAGCATAACCCTGACATTCCAAGGGCAGACGGGTATTTCTCCACCAATCAGCTGCATCATTCTGCAACATATAAGAAGCATACAACAATTTCTGCTGATCATCACACTCCATGACAGTAAAAATGCGATCCAATTCTTCTAACCACTGAATTGCAGCAATAGGATCAATGCCTCCTTTATAATTTGGTGGTGCATGTTTTCGGAAGGCATTTAGCATTCTTTCTCTTTGCTCTCTATTAGTAGCTGGCTGTGCCACACCACCCCTGTGACTAGATTCTTCATTCACATCATTATTTCCTTCACCCTCCACAACAATGGGATTATGAGGAGGAGGAACAGGCTGTTGTGGTTGTGGCTCAGGCTGTGGCTGTTGCAAAGGCTGTGGCTGTGGACCTTGCCCACCCGCCCTCACCTCAACCAAGAGTAATCTCATCATTTCAATATTCGCCATTCTGCTTGCTGCCATCATTTCTTGATTGGCCAACCTATTAGCCTCTAACAGATCTTGATTAGCTTTCATCATCACTTCTAGCTCTCGCTGCCTAGCTGCAGCCATATTTTGTTGCATCTCAGTTAAGGCCATTATCATTGGATCTGGCTGTGAAGTATTTCCCCGCTGGTTTAGTCGGGGTCTAGCCAAATCTGCTAATATTGGATCGGTCGGGTCAATAGGAGGATCAGAAGTCCTTCTTGGGCGAACCATAATTCTGCATATTTCACACAAAGGAATGAGTTAGCTACGCTCACACTCGGTGATCAGACATGCATATCATAGTACTCCAAGAAAAACTCAAGAATATAACAACCCGAACAGTTCATGCAATATTTCACAGGCTCTTCTAGAGAAACTGCTCTGATACCATAAATGTAACATCCCTGTCTCGAGCCGGTTCAATTAACATACATATGATAAAACAGAAAACAGCGGAAGACTTAACTTACGAAAATATGAGCTAACTTTTTCTTTTTCTAACTTAATTCTTTCTCGGCGTAAACGAAAATCGGGCAGAGTTTCCTCTATAAATCGGACAACTGGGGATTTTCCAATCCCACTCAGAAGCATTTCCTGATAAACAGTTTATACAACATATCAATTCGGAAATACCAGATATCCAAATATAATCGAATACCCATACATGGGCGCATGCATAACATGGCTCCGTGCCACTAAATCTAACAGCATGCCATCAAAACATAAACCTATCTGAATACTACATCATCATATAACGTTCCTGAATACTCAAATGTACATGCATCAAACTGACAGACATGTACAAAACATATACAGGCCATATACAAAATAAAGGATCAATATCATGATCCATCAAATGCGAAAATACTAAAATACATCAAACACTCCAAAAAGGTAGCAGCCTACAGCCACTCAAAATCCGGTCTGTCAACTGCCTCAGCCACGTGTCGTGTCCCTGCCTAGTGAGGACTCACCGGAAATCTGGGCACCTGAAAATGTGTCCCCAAAGAGGGGTGAGATTACAAATCTCAATAAGCTCCAGGTTTATAGAGAATTCTCCATACCCCTGGCTCACTCCTGCATGAAAGTCAGATACAGAGTATACAAATACAACATATAACAGATATCATAACAGAACAGAGCATATATCCATATCATATCAGAGATGTGCGCCGTCATTCCCAAGGGAGGACCCCAAGCGGAAATCAACGCACGTGTTCCCGAGGGAGGACCCCAAAGCGGAACCAGACATATCAGAGGAGTACACCATCAGTCCCGAGGGAGGACCCCAAAGCGGACGTCCGGGTACTATACAATCAATGGCCAGAGATTGTTACAGAAATCAAATTACAGAAGTCACATCAGAGCAAAACATATCATGTTATCAAATAACTCTATATGAATGCATCTATACAAAGCATCTAAATCACAGTCATACAGTCCAACCATAGTTCACTAACCATGGTGGAGCACTCAAGCAGGAAAAGACTCCTTAAACATAGAGCTTACCTCTTGAAGCTTTACCAATACGCTTACTTGTGGAACAAGTTACTTTTATCGCTTCAAGAGATTTCCGATCCTTCTCAATCCCTAGGCACACCTAGAGAATAATTTACAATGCATCAATAAAATGATGCAATACCATAATTATTTCATAAGCATACATTTTATCGCTTATTTTCCTTTCTTTGCATTTTTGCCAATCCTATGCCAATACACAAGTCTAGACCTCTTTATAACCGTTGGTGTTCTTTAATTTAATCAACCATTCCCTTAGGAATTTTCAACATAAATCATGCTATTTTTCTTCAAAACTCATCACCTTTATACAATTTATTACAACACATTTTATTTAAAATAAAATGTACAAAATATGTCCCTAAATACCCTATAGGTCGACTCCTTTAAGGGAATTTCCAAGGATCCTTCTCTTTTACAATACATTTTCCTCACTTAATTTAACAACTACACGTACATAAATATATAATATATACCAAGTTCCTATTTAATTTTTTTGGAATCTCAAGCTCTTTAAATCCTTCAAGGCCGAAACATCAAGGGTATGTTTCAAAGGATTTTCTTTCAAATTTAACATTCTTACTAACTCATCAAATTTTCTCTTATTCAAGCACATTAAACCTTCCCAATACATACAATAAATCTTTGTGCATCATCCCTAATTACCCTATCAAGGCCGAAATCTAGGGTATGTCACCATGGGATTTTTTTCCAATTTTTATACATGTTCATATGCTTATTCCATATTCCTATATCCAACACATCATCAATCCATCATCAATTCAAATTTTAAACTAATTTATTTCACACCAACACATGCTCACAATTTCTATGACACAAACCATCAAAATAACATCATGGAAACAAAGGTTTCTTACCATTAATCAACTTCCCAAAGCCTAGAAAGCAACCTCCAAGCCAAGCTCCATCAAAAACTCACTTTTTCCACCTTGGATGAATAGTGCACGAAAATGGGGTGATGGATATCTCCCTCCACAAACGAAATCAGCTCAAATGGAGGGGTGGAATAGCTTCCTTGGATGATTTCCTATGAGATTGGTATAATGGGTCAAAGATTTGGTTGCTTAATCATGGAGAAATCAAAGAAAAATCAAAACAAGCCCTAAGCTCTATTCTCCATGGCTGTCACGGTTTGGGAGGGAAGAGGGAGAGAGAGAGTGTGAGAAAAAGTGGTGACTTTGAGTCACTTAATGTACTTTTTAGCCTATGTGGCTTTACCAGATGTTTTTCCTACGCATATTTTTACTTAAACTGACCCGAAATTAACTTAAAGCTACGGACATATTTTTATTTTTCTAAAATCATTTACATTACTTTTTATTTCTTACAAAACAATATTCATAATTCACAGTATGGTTTTTACACCGTTTTTGACGAAATGCACTGTGCATCACTAATTGTACTTCCTTTACTTACGAAACTTAAAACTTATAAACTTATCATTTTCTTGGGCCTATATTGACTTGCTTGACATATATTGGACTTTCTTATTCTTATTTCATCAATTATTTATTTCTGGACTCTACCGGTTGCTTAAACAGCAGTACAAAATACCCGGTAGAAACACTATTCACGAGATTTTCACGGAAAGTGCCAGACTATACAATTTTTCGTTCTGAACTCATATTTGTCGTCAGAATTATCAAATTATGTCTCTAAAATTATTTTGCTCTTTTAAGCTCTACCGGTTAATTCACAAAACTGTAAATTCTCCGGCAGAACGCACTGTTCATAACATAGTCATGATTACAGTCAAAATACTCGGAATCACTCACTGAATATAATTATGGCATTTAAATCCTTAAATTAAATCTCTAATTAAGATTTACCATTTAGGGTCATTATATTGTACCTTTTTATGCTTTTATAATTGTTTGCTGGTGAATTCAGAAAAGAATACTTCTACTGACTTTGTTAAGTAAGTATTTGTTTTTTGAACAGAAAAAAGCCAAACGCTATCTATTGGAAACAATTAGATGCCATGAGAAGGCTGGATGAAATTTAGTTCTTCTATCTAGATATAACTTCAAAGATAATGTTGCTGAAAGCCTTACTTAAACTATAGAATTATAATTACTAATTTGACAATGGGAAATATGTTGTGGGCCTAGGGCCTAGAACAATAATGCAAAGGCATGTGCCCAGGATAGTCGAATTGCATTTGTCCTACTAAACAATTTATTTCTCTTTTGCTGCCCGGACCAATAATATTATCATGCTTGTCTCTTGATTCTTTTTCATTTATATCGGCATTCTTTGGAATTTGACTTGTATTTGGAAAATAAGAAAACATTCATTAAGAAGATTGGTAACTTTTCTGAGCAGAATACTTTCCGTTAATGGGCAACTTATATCCAACTAAGGATATTAAATTCTTTGTACTCATCTTTGTTTTCTGAAGGTTGAAATAGAGGCTTTAGCTCCCAATCTGTAAAGTTATGCTACTAGATCACCAGTAAGACTTTTCTCCAAAGAAATTTGCTTGGGTCTGTGGTATTTTGAAATCATCAATTTGCTAAAATATGGCCTGTTGTTCAAAGAAGATGTTGTAACCTTCTTAATTTTGAATTATTTTGCTGTTATTCTGCTGGTGATCTTAGAATTGAGGCTTCACTAATCACTCTCTTTGGTGCTAATTAGTGAAAGAAAATGGGAAAAAATGATTTATTAAAATCACTGGGACTCTAAGCCCCTGTTGTTTCTTATAAAACTATTTTTTTTCTTGCTTTATGCCTATTGGAAATGTTGAAATTTATTTTAGTGGTAAACCTAATATTTGTGGCTCTTAAATTATACATAGATACATGTCTAAGCTTCCCATTCTCATTTTTTTTTTTTAAATTAAAAATAATGCTGTCGCCACCTGAATTTTAACTTCAACCAGTGGATTGTTTTGATGATATTTTAAAACTTGATTTACAGGATCATCTGGCATTGATGATGGAGCTTCTTGGAACGATGCCCCGCAAGGTAGGAATGTTATCTGCTCTGCTGAGAATTTTAAAGTTTGCATGTATCATTTTGTATTTTGATATGTTCAAGAAACAATATTCAGCATTCTTATATATAGATACTCAATCATTCCAAATTTAGACTCCATACTGTTTTCCAGATCCTCTTGCACTGTACTCAATTTGTCTCTCAAATGAGTTTATCTGCTTAAAAAGAACAAAGCAAAACATAAAAATAGGGTGCTGCATTTCATTCTGAAAATTGGTCAGTATCAATATTTTATCTGTTCTCAAATGCATAATTTGAATAATATTTCGTTCAGATTGCACTAGGTGGTCGCTATTCCCGAGAATTTTTCAATAGACATGGTGACTTGAGGCACATTCGCAATTTGCGATTCTGGCCAATGAATAAGGTGTTGATGGAGAAGTATGATTTCAGTGAGCAAGATGCAAATGACATGGTTGACTTCCTTGTTCCAATACTTGATTATGTCCCTGAAAAGAGACCAACAGCTGCTCAGTGCCTTAGTCATCCATGGATCAGTGCAGGTCCTCGGACTCTTGAGCCCTCACTACAACCTGATGCCATCGATGAGGAATTGTCTGAAAAGAGGAAGAGGGAAAATGCTGAGCTGGAGGTAGTGGAAGTTGGCGTGAGGAATATAGCCATTAATTGAACTTTTGCGCCAGTCAAAGATTCCCAACCTCTAAAGTTATCAAAATAAATACTAATTGGCTTATCTGGGTGATATATGCAACCTTGTTTCGTTTTCATGGATGTCATGCTGGTCCTTGAAGCTTGAATCCTATGGAATTGCAACAGTGGACCTTATGTGGAATGCAGGTCAGAAATCGAGCTTGTGATTTGGGAAGCCCTTCATAGGGCTAGCTGGATTTCTGATGCATTGCTGTAGCATCACTTATCACTTCTTTCACCTTTACTGGTATTACAGGGATAGCTTCAAATTCAGTTTGATTAAGTGCTCTGTTACTAACTTATGAATTTTTTTTTGGAGCGTGAGTTTGAAACTATTCCCTAGATTAGATTGTTGTCTTTTAGAAATACTACACTTTGGGGAGGGGGTTGTATTGTACATTGAATAACTATTGATTTGTCCGCATCAGACCCTGTTGCTGTAGACTTTGCCATTGCATTGTTAGTCTTGACTTGAGTTTATTTGAATTCCTGGGTTTGTCATAAGTTGCAATTTTTTATTTTTTATTTATATTACTGGCTGAAGAATAAAAGGAATATGAACAAAGAAATGGGAGTATTTGAAAAGAGATAATTTTATCCTGAAATTATTAATATGATATCAACCACTTTATATGTGAGATTTATATTATCTATTTATTTCTCTTCTTTTCATGTGATACTGACCATAATTACAGAAACTAACATGCTAGCTCATAACAAATATTCGTAGACCAAACAAATAAAAAAATCCAACACAAGCTTATAATTTATCATGATACTGCATTGAAGCACAAATGTGCATATCACTCAACAAATTCAATACGCAGGTGAGAATTATTATAAAGCTGGATGAAAGTGACTTTGTAGAAGAACCATGGAGAACAAATATGTTGATATAGAAAATCTGTATCTTTGATAAACAATACGGTGGTGATTTTGCAATACAATTTGTTAGTATACTTCTCATGGAATGAAGAAACAGATCTGGGTACACGACCTGTGCTTCGGCCTAGATTGTACCCGAAGAAAAAAAAGAAAAAAGAGAACTCGATCTTAAGCCAAATAACCACATGAAGGGAGAAAAAAGAGGCTATAGTGTTGCAGTGGTTTTTTAGAAGAACTACGGAGAATAAATAGATCGGTATCACAAATCTGTCTATTGCATAAACGATATAGTGATGATTTTACAATGCAATTTGTTGGTAAATTTATCATAGTACAAAGAACAGAGAAGTGAATACCAACTCAGTCTTAGAAAATTCTATGTGCGCTAACTTGCCAAAAGAAGGGAAGTTTCCACAGATGTCAGATGCGAACCTCAAATACTATCTCTCTTTTAAATCGTGTAATCCCATTACGTAAATTCTTCAACAAGAGGCTGGTAGAACAGTTTGTATGCCTCCACAACTTCGAGATACCACATTGCCTCTCGGTCTGGGGATGATGAAAGATCAACAATCTTGTGAACCTGTTATAATATGAGAATATCAACTCAAATTAAGATAATTTTCCTTCATTATTTCCACTAGTGGGAGCAATATTATGGTTGATCCTATTAGTGCCTTCAATATTATGGCTGGAAGTATACCCACACAACCTCCTCCGGCCACCTTGTACTCGGAGTACTGTCCATAGGGCTAGCTTCTCATTGGAGCAAAGGATGCATTGGACCACTATCACCGGAGGGAAGACGAGCCTAATCTCCTTCGAGGGGGAGACGGTTTCCCTATGGCTCCCAAAAAATTTCAAGAATTTGCTTTGACCAATGTTTGAACCCCTGACCAAAGCAAACTCTTGGACACTCGGTTACCAACTGAGCTACGAACAAAAGTCAGAATGTTTCAGGTCATGTGAATTCTAGGTTAAGCAAACAAATTCAGCTTTCTGGTACTGTAAAATTTCTAGTTGTGGTGTTCCCTAGATTCCACCATTGAACCAAAATACCCAGTAAATATTTCTTCCCACAACTACCATGTGACCTTAAGTCCTTAACCCACATAGCCATATACAAATGCTTCCCCTCATAGTAGATCCAACTGAAACCAGAATATCTATATTTACAAGTTACAACCCTTAAGGTTTGGAACATTACCAAAATAAACTCACCTTGATCATGGGAGGCTCTCCCGCACGTGCAACGTACCCTCCAACTACCATTATGTACATGCCTTACAAAAAAAAATTCAAAAACGCAAACGAGTAGCAATTTTGAGAAAACCCCACATTCAATTGAATCACAATAGATTCCCAAAGCTTTGATTTTGGACAGAAATTTACCAACTCTCCAATGCCGGTGGCGGAACTCGCCGGAGAGGGAGAGCTCGATGACGCCAGTTCCGTCGTCGAGAAACAGAGGTCCACCGTCGCCGTCGGAAGAAGACACCAGAACGCCCTGAGGCATTCAAAAAAGAGAGAGTAAAACGGTGGCGTTTAGGGAATGGAGGTGGAGAAGAAAGTTCAAACCTGCAACCAAGCGCGTTGGAAGAGAATGCCACCGAGGGTGAAAGCATTTTGAGACGCCACTTCTCGTGCTTGTTTCAGCTGACTGCATAAAAGCTTCAATGCTGCTACACTGTAATCCATCACTCTCCTCCTTCTTTCTCTCCCAAAACCCTCTCATAATTTATCCATTTCTCAGAAGAAGAAAAAACATCTATCTACTCGACAATACTAGAAAGAGAGAGAAGAGCATAGTATTAATGGAAATTTTCTCTTTTTATAGTTTTTTTTTTAGGATTTTATGAAAGTTGAAAAATGATTGTGTTATGTCATAGAGATTCGTTTTGCGTGTCGAATTTTTTTTTTTTTGCTGCGGGTCCCACAAAATATTGTGTGTAGGAAACTTTTTGTGGTTATGTTAAATGATAGAAGATAAACACTTTTTTTTAATGCTGTGAGATATTAAAATCAGTGTTATTATTTTATTTTTTATTTTTTTTAACAAGCGTGAACTCCACCGCTTGTTATGTATAAGAAGGGATAGGATTTATTTACAAATTTTTTTTTTGCAAATTACACTAAATACGACCGGTCGTATACTGTATGATTAAAGTATGACCGATCGTACTTAGTGTAGTTGGTAAGAGTTTGTAAACGAAAAAATTTATAAATATAACCTACCCATATAATAATGAGATGTTATCTTGACATGAGAAAAGAAAAATCTAGTATTATAATTCTCGGAGAAAGAATATAAAAAATTATCACAAGAAATCAGTTTCACTTAAAATAATAGTATTCTATACTATTCTTTAAAATGGTAAATATTTTTTCTTATATTTAATGAATTTACTATTTCTATGAGAGAATTTAATAAAATTATTTATTATATATATAAAATTGTGTGAGATTTATATTTTTATTTCATTTTCGTCTCTTCAAATTATACTCCTCAAGTTAATGTCCCAAAAAAAACTAATTTCCTGAGGTTTATTTGTGTTTTTTTGTTTTATAAACAGAAGTTTAATTAAACATATTTTTAAAACAATTCTTATTATAAAAATATAAAAAAAAATAAAAACTCCCAAGAATAATTTTTTTTTTATTCTAATTTTATTTTTATTCTAAACTTGTATCTATAATTTTTTTACTCTAATAACAAATTATTTTATCTCCCTCCCTTTAAAAACCATAAGAATAATTTTATAAATTCCAAACAAATTGTAACTTTACTTTTTAAACTCTTTTTAACTTTAGCTTAACACCAGCACATGCATCATTAAGCACAAAAAATACAAGTTATTTATCAAGCTTATAGGTACACATTGAGCTTTGCAATTGAGCATATAAAAGCACCTTTAGTCTTTTACATAAAGCCAAGTTCTTACAACAGCAATCACAACTCTAGGAAATTCAAAGCAGAGTGTGAAACGAAAAGTGTTTGTTTAGGATATAAGGGAGATGCCAGCAGCAATCAAATCATCAGCCAAAACCTTGTTTGCAGCATCTGAGGGATGAAAACCATCCCAGAATACATACTCAGACGCATTAGCACATGTTCCTATGGACATTTGATTGCACAATATAGATGTCTCTAGCAAGCCCGTTCCACAACAAGCCTTTCTTGCTTCAGAAAATCCTGATATTATAGTACCATGCCACACAAAGGAAACAAATTAAAATCCTTAATAATAAGACGGGATAGAATGAATTTACACCGGTGTAAGTCTTACATTCAATCTAAGCCGTTTATCTTACTTACATCTAAGAATTCTATTTTAAAAATTATATAAGCCAATAGAAGCAAGTGAGATTTACTATTAAGATTGAGAGTAAAATTTCTTATTCTTGCATCGGTGCAAGTATCGGTATAAGTTGATCTGTTCAGATTAGCTTACTACCCCAATTAATTTGGAATAAAGGTGTTGTTGATGTTGATGTTCAGATTAGCTCACTAGGGTTAGCATAATTAGATTGTGTACCATTTTCAGAAGGCTTGGTGACCAGGTCATAGAGAGGTTGATATATATCAAGGAGGACCAAATTGAGACCAGGAAGCATTTTTTGCAAATTTTGAGATGTGGTGTTGAGCTTTTTATTGAAGTTAACTGCATCATTGTTTATCCTGGCCACACATTCGTTGCTAAGAGAGCCAAAGAGAGTGATGGCTGCTGGCAAGCAACCCATTGGAGGTAATGTTGTCACACCAATTCTCCTTGCTCCCAGTGCATATAAATCCTGTCATATTCATGATTAGAAATGCAAATCAAAATCAGCAAAGTTCTTTAGCAAATACTAATAACTTTTTTTTTTGGTTACTTTTTAATTAATAGCATCATCCACTTCTATGTTCCTAACAACGGTTTACTAAGGCAAGGTGTCAAGTTTGAGAAAGGCATGCCTGAATGAAGTTGGAATAGCAGTGCATAAGAGTGTCTGAGAATTGATCAGCCGTGTAAACCTTGTATAGCAAAGGATTTATGTAATAATTCTGAATAAAATCACTGTTCCCAGCACTAATAAGATATATAGCACCAGATATAATTGATGAAGCTTTTGATTGCCCTGCTATTTCCACCAATTTGTTCTGGCACTCCTTGTAGTATTCCAGCTGCTGACTCAATGGAATTGCATGCTACACCCAGGGAAAAAAAAATAAAAAAAAATTCAGGACTTACCAATATTATCATTTGACTTTAAGTAAAGCTTAAAAAAACATGAGAGTTTTTTTTTTTATTTTTAAACTTTTAAATGTAATTACATATAGTTTGGCTGTAGGATCAAAGTAACCAGAAGCAGCTGAGGCAAAGTTAGCACCATTCAAGAGGTTCTTTCCTTTGGTCTTTAAGTTGAGGTAAGCTGGTGGGTAAGAGGTAAATCCAAGGGTTTCAGCTGCAATGAATGAGTTGATGAAACAAAGATCAAATCCTAGTTTGAAATAAAATAAAATAAAATAAAAGATATTGTGGACAATAGGGAATTAAGGAAAGGAACCTGTGTAGTCTGTGGCAAGCTTTCCATTGCAGAACCTTCCTGTTGGATTGTGATTCTGAAAGTCTCTTCCATAAGGAGGAAAGTTTGCTTTAACAATAGTATGGAGATGGTTATTATTTCCCACATCAACAACTGAGTCCCCAAATAAGAACAATGCTGGGACCAGAGGCTGTCCATTAGTCACATTGAGCAGCACAGCAAGAAGAAGAAAGGAAACCAGGAAAGAACTTGAATACCCCATACTTTTCAATTCCTCTTCAGCAATGTGCTTCTTGTTCATGCAAACACACACAAAACACACAGAGATAAAGCAGACTCTGAAGAAGGGATACAGTATTGGGAACTGATAATCTGATTTAAGTCTTGTGCTTTAAAGCTGGTGCCTACTGTGGATCTGGTCTGGCAAGGCTGCAGTTCCAAGAATTTTATTAATGTTCCAACTTAAGTATAGGGTACTGTATAACTTAAGTCAATATAGAAAATTTAACCAGTTACCATCATATTGACGTCAAAAAAACTATTTGAATTCTTCATTTGAGGAATTTGAAAAAGGGGTTCCATGCTTGGATTGTGTGTTACCAAAATTGAACTATTTGAGATGATGGTATTATGTAGGTGGCACAAACAATATTAGATATAACCTCTTAATATCACTCAATCTTGAAGAGAAATTTACTCAGACAAGATGGCAATTTAAACAGAATCAAAGAGAGCATAAGGAGTAAAATGTATGGTAAGGCTTGAATCCTCTTGTATTAAAATTTCATGCAATATTGTGAATGTTTATTTCTTTATTTATAGGCAATAAATAGATTGGTCTTACTAAAAATTATAAATATTTATGAAGAGAGAAAGCCATATCATTATTATTTGAAATTTTAAGATGAATTTTTTTTTTTTTTTGGCCGAATCTCCACATTCCCAAAACCGAAGCTGACAAAAAATAAATAACAGTAATAAAGGAAGTTCGTTACTAACCACTACGTAGAGGTAAAGTCTTAGTCTTAGTACTATTAACACATGATGATGTCTTGAGCCGTGTCCTAGACTCGAACAAAATATCACATTTTGAGAAAAAAATTTAATGTGGAGGAATTTTTTTTTCAAAAGTGATGAATTTTTTTCCAAATATAAAAAAAAGATGCACCAGTCGAGTACATCTAATACACCAAAGTTTTGTTCCCCAGACTACTAGCTTTTTACTTTTCAACCATGCCGAATAATATAGGAGCAACATAAACTCGAGTAAAAGCATGGGCTGAGAAAACAAAAGGAAAAATAGAGAGAAATTAGAGAGAAAACTAAGAGAGACATGAGATGACTTGCATTTGGACATTAATGCGGTTGGTGACCACTTATGAGTTTTGCTTTGCGTGCCTTATTTACTCAAGTGGCACCACCACCACTTTGATCACTATCAACACCTTCCTCAACTCATAGAACTATTCTTGAGCATTTTACGGAGACAAATCAGACAATCGTGTCTTTTCATCACTTGACCTTTGTCTTGGATTGGTATGTACATGCCAGATTCGGTGGGTCAATTCTTTTAATGATTTGTTTCCATGTGTACCGCTGATCATTGATCACTATGATGCTCCTTTTGCCCCCAATTCCTAATAAGATAAAAGAGCTGGACTTCAATAGTGTTTATCACAGTCATCAAAAATACAGTGGCAATGTTGAGTTGTTGAGCCTGGTGATAAAAATAATATTCATTTGTTGTAATGTTTTGCAGGAATCTAGCTTTTTGCCAATTTCTTGTATTGGTATTCATTATATCTATACTTTCTAATATAATACGCTATGGTTGAGGCAATTTCTGATCTTATATTTGTTTTGTTTTTAAAGATGACGATTCATAACCACTTGGGTTAACCTAGTGACAACGGCGGACCCACATAGGGACACATGTTCGCACTTGCGGATATAAAATTTAGATTTTAAGTTTTTTGTTTTTTTTTGTTATATATCCTTATGTGTCTCTTGTTCAATATTTATATTAGTCAATGTTAATTTTGCAATACAGATGTTAAATACTTTTTGTGTTGAGATTAAATGTCACTAATTTTTATGGCATAATACTGTTTTTCATGTAGTAACTGAAGATATAGGATGACTTGATTTTCTGAATTTGCATACTTCAATCGCTCAACTCAACAATCATTGGACATAGCTTCACTGTCATACTTGCTTCACTAGTAACATTTAATTTATGGAAAAAGTGTTTGTCCTTTTAAATGACACAATTTATCTCATTTCACTCTCACAAAAAGGTGGAACCCACACTTTTTTTTGTCCACTCTCTCCCATGATCTATCTATGGAGTATACTTGCAATAAGGAAAATGGAGAATCCACTCGTCCGTCAATAATAACCGATCGACACCATTGACCTAGAGTCAGTATTCCGGCCAGTTCCTGGAGTTCTCTGCACAGAGGTTTCAGTGCATAATTCCCAGAGTACGCTCCTTTAACGACCAATGTATAAATGTTGTCACATTATACTTTATAATTGTTTGAATATTTATATACTGTATATTGGTCATGATTTCTTATACGTAAAATGTAAATACAAATGGGACGTTGGGGGCCTCTCTATTTTAATTGAGTGCAAACGGATGATGTAACCAAGGCATTTTACTTCAGGAGAGATAGTGGACCACAAGGGGCCTTGGAATGTCTATACAGGGCATAAGATCATGCTTGCATAGCTGCATGCCATTGTTTTTTTTTTTTTTTTTTATCGCTGTGTAGTCTATTTTTAAATAGAATATGTTTGGTAAAATATATTAATTCTGAGAAGGGAACGTATATGTAATGTAACCTCGTACAATATAGAAATTATGACAAGGGGGAACGAGTTTAAACCTCTGTGCAGAGAACTCCAGGAACTAGCCGGAATACTGACTCTGGGTCAATGGTGTCGATCGGTTATTGTTGACGGCCGAGTGGATTCTCCATTTTCCTTATTGCAAGTATACTCCATATATAGAGTGTTGGTGGGTTGGGGGTAAGGGAATTTTATCGGAAAATTATTAAATATGTTTAATTGTTGAAATATAATAGTACAAGGGGGTTAATTGTTCCAATAAAAAGTACGAGGTGGTCTTTTGAAAAAGCATCAAAGTACAGTGTGGTTTTATATAATTTGCCCTGAAAGTTATATCAAAATTTTTTTCGGCGGTGTTGCCCCTGAACCCCTGCCACTTAAAGTGTGGACATGAACTTTTTTTCCTAGGTCCGCCACTGCCTAGTGATCTCGGTGTGTGTAATAGGGCGTGTGTTAGTATGTGTAGTTGTGTTGGATTCCCCGTAACTCAAAAAAAAAAATGATAATTCATACTATCTGAATTAGAGGTAAAATTCACCTATATTAATTTTATTTTGTAATCTGTATGTTTTTAAAATCAATAATACTTACACGAAATTTTTTTTTATAGATTTTTTGTCACATTCATTTTTTTTTACTCTCGTACTTTTGGTTTTGTATAGTTTTAAAATACTTAAATTGATGCGCATGCTATATTAATTATATATTTTTTTGATATATTTATTATTATTTTTTTTGGTGAAGGAAAGGGCTTAACAGCCCAAAAAATAACTAAACAATATAAACGTCCCTAATGCTGGTAACAGCACAAATATCAGCAAAAAATAAACAGCTAAGCCCAAGAGGAACATGACTAAACTCCTTATAAATAGAGTTTTGGCTGGGGCAAATCAAATGGTTGGCAAGCAAATCAAATGGTTGGCAAGCCAATCAGCACATTGATATCCTTCACGGTGAATGTGTTGAGCCTTGAGATCCCAATCTTTGTTCATCCAAATCCGAATGCGAGTAACAATATGCGACTCTCGGACATCATTACCTTTACTGGTAAACAGCGTGATCACCGAAGTGGAGTCACTTTCAATAATAATTTTCCTAAACCCTTTGTTCCAAGTAAATTCCAAACCTTTCAGAATACCCCATAGTTCTGCTGTAAAAGCTGATACAATACCCACATGATAAGCAAAACCCCCTAGCCATTGACCATCAGATCCTCTACATAATCCTCCGCATGCAGCTACTCCTGGAGATCCTTTGGCTGCACCATCTGTATTTAACTTTATCCATCTATAATCTGGTGGCTGCCATGCAATATGTATCTTAGATAATATTCCAGCCTTCTTCTTGTTTCCTTTATCGCCAAAAGCTTGCTTGATATCCAAAGCCATGCATTGCACCTTACGCACAAGAAGAAAATCAGCAGATCCTTCCTTTCCGTGATAAACAGCATTTCTATCGTTCCACAACTCCCTACAAGTTAAAAGGAAAATTGTATCCCAATTTAGACTGTTGGGTCCTGACCTATCGTTACATATGTTAGAAGACATCCAATCCACCCAATCCAAATCATAGAAAGAAGCCTGCCGCCTGGTTGATAGCATTTTATCCCACACTGTTTTTGTCACAACACAATCTCTCAAAACATGAAAGTCTGTCTCATATGCGCTAAGACATCGAGAACAGACAGGATTCGCGTCTGACCATTTCGCAGCCCATGCTCTAGTTGGCAATCTACGGTGCAGACATTTCCACATGAAAATCTTCACTCTCTCTGGACCCTTCCAATGCCAAAGAGCATTCCACACATGATCTGGAATACTATGATTAATAAGTGGAACTCGTTTCTGTAAAAGTACCTGATAGGCATCCTTAACTGTTATTGAACCATGACCCCCAATACTCCATCTTTCTACATCTAATCCGTCATTTACTGCAGGAGGGAGGAAACCAGTCACTATCTCTAAGATGTTATGCGACAGGTAAGATTAAAGCATATTCACATCCCAACAGCCATGTGTATCTAGAACTTCATTAGCTTTCCTGGCTAGATCATTCCCACTAAGCTCCTTTATACAAACATTTACTAAGGGACCCACATTGGGAATCCAAGGATCAGTCCAGAAGTTGACCGAAGCTCCATCACCAAGTTCCTACACGACATATTCTTTTAGCTCCAACCACACCTTGCAAATGCTCCCCCAAAGGAGTGAGTCTCCAATTCTACTGGTAAAAAGATCTAGTTGATTTCTTCTACCATTATATTTTGCTTTGAGAACCCGCACCCAAAGTGCATCATGATCTGTTTTAATATGCCAAGCTAGCTTACCCAAAAAAGCATCGTTCATAACATCAAGACATTTAACTCCAAGACCTCCCTTTTGTTTTGGTTGGACTAAAGTACTCCACTCGATCAAAGCATTCCCTCTATTTTGATCAAATCCATTCCAAATAAACTGGCATTGTACCTTCTCCACCTCATGACAAATGGATTTAGGCAACTTAATACTTTGCATTTGGAAGAAAGGCACAGTTGAAACTGAAGCTTTGCTCAACGTAATCCTACCTGCCATAGATAGGCATTGAGCTTTCCAACCTTGCATTTTGACTTAACTTTATCAACAAGATCATTGAATAAGGCTTTGGAAACTCTTCCATGTTGCATCATCGCTCCAAGGTAACGACCCAAATTCCTGGTCCTTTTGAATCCACTCAAACTCGCGATCTTGTCTGCTTTGATATCATCAACATTCTTAGAGAAGTATATGCTGGTTTTGGCCAAGCTCACACGAAGACAAGACATTAAAGCAAACTCATTCAATATATGGACAATCACACACACCCATTTGTGCTTCACTAACCTCTGCAAAAAACATCAAATCATCAGCAAAAATTAAATGAGATATCTCCGGACCTCCTTGGCCTACCCTAATTGGATTCCATTCCCCTTTACCAACAACATTAGCAATCATATGAGAGAGCTTTTCAATTCCTAGCACAAATAAGAAGGGAGATATGGGGTCACCTTGCCGCACGCCTCTAGAGGGTTGAAATTCTGGCGTTAACTCACCATTCCAAAGAAAACTGATGTTTGACGTTGTAACAACAGCCATGACAATATTTAAAAAATTACCTGGCAATTTTATTTCTGACAAAACCTCTTTAAGGATGCCCCAGCTAAGTCGATCATAAGCCTTTTCTAAGTCCACTTTAATAGCCATGAAGCCTTTCCTACCTCTCATTCGATGCATAGTGTGAACTAGCTCTTGAGCCACAATAATATTATCTTGAATATGACGTTTCGGGATGAAGCTAGCTTGGCATGGAGAAATGATCCTCTCCATTATTGGTTTTAGCTTGATGACAACAATTTTACTGAGCACTTTATAGAGAACTGAGCAGAGAGATATAGGACGCATATGACTCATTAGTGTAGGAGCTGCAACTTTGGGAATTAGAACTAAGAGAGTTGAATTAATTCTCTTAATGTCCGCTGGATTCTGCCATAAATAACAGATCTCTTGACAAACTTGATCCTTGATTCTATCCCAATTCTGCTGGAAAAAAATTGCTTGAAATCCATCAACTCCTGGTGCTTTAAAGGATACCATATCAAAAATAGCATGACGAATATCTTTCATGGAAGGTGGCTTTTTAAGGTCCTGCAAAGTATCTTGTGTTATGATTGGCCACCAATCCTCAGTTGCTATCCATTTCCTATTTGAATCCTCCTCTTTAAAAAGTTTCAAATAGAAATTGCGGGCCAGCTCTTGAAGGGCACTCGGATCTGAGATCCATGTTTGATTATCATTCTTCAACCGCAGAATTTTGTTGGTGTTCATGTGAATGATTGTCTTCAGATGATAGAACTTGGTGTTCCTATCACCATCAACAATCCATTTTCCCTTGACTTTTGGAACCACAACAACTCTTCTTGTTCTAGAATACTGGATAACTCTTCTTGTAGCTTGTTTTCCTTCATAGCCAGATATGAGATTCCTTTGTCATTCGTTGCTGCTGGACCCGATCTATTGACTTAATGAGACCCTTTTTTCTTAGCCAAATATTCCCAAAAACGTTGGTGTTCTATTGTTTTAATAGAGGGACCAACCTCTGAAGCATATTACTGCACGTCTCATTAGACTGCCAATATTCATCAAGGAACGAGTTGAACATTGGATGCTGTTGCCATGCTGCGACAAATCGAAATGGTCTTGTCCGTAAATGAGCCTGATTAGCATACAACTCTACTAAAAGAGGATTGTGATCAGATTGAATCCTAGGAAGCACCCGAACATTTGCATATGTGTATTTCAATCTCCAAGCTTCATTTGCACATACTCGATCAAGACGCTTAAAAATACGATCCAAATGTCCCCACTTAGGCCCTTGCTAAGTAAAGAAAGCACCAGCTCCACCCAAATCGATTACTTTACAATCATCTAGAACGTCAGCAAACTTTTGACATTTTGTTATATCAACAGTAGCCCCTCCTTTCTTCTCTGATGAATGTGCAATCTCATTAAAATCACCATTCGTAATCCAAGGATCCGCTACTTGAGAGCTCATTCTTCGAAGATCTTGCCATAATAAGTTCCTCTTCTCTTCACGGGGCTGACATAAATAACTGTAAGAAAGGTGAACAGTTCCCCATTTTTAAGAATTTTAACATGGACAAACTGACTAGATTGCTCAATAGGCTCTATTCTGAAGAAATGAGAGCACCAAAATAACCAAATACCACCAGAAAACCCCTGGGCCTCTTCAACAATTATTTTATCAAAACCTAGGCTTTTTGCTAATTTTGCAGCTCGATCACCAGAAGCCCTAGGTTCAAAAATTGCCACCAACTTGATATTATGTTTCTGCACAAGAACTTTAAGTGTATGAGCCAGTCTTCCGCTAGCTGCACCTCTACAATTCCATAGAAGGTCTGACATTAAGACATGTGTTCTGACACATTGATCACTGGAACCTCCAAACGCTCCATCAGCTCATCTGTATTCAAGCTAGTATTCTCTATTGCTACCATATCAATATCACTCACATTTTGAATCTGCCCTTGATTAGAAATTGGTTCTGGGGGTCTTGGTGGATGGGCCAAAAGCATATTGTTTGTAGTTTCATTACTTTGATCGACTAGCATATGGTGATCCTCCAAATTCCCTGTTATGCTATTCTCGGTTTTCGCAGAGTTCTGCATGATTTTTAACGTGGATCCTTGCGTCATTTCCTTCCCAGAGACTTGATTCGGTCTTCGTTGATGAGACG